AATAAAAAAAAATTCATTAAATTTGGTCAGGTGGGTGTTAAGATATCTTTGTTTAAATTTTCCAGGCAAATTTGCCTGGAAATGATCTACAGATTAAGGGATAACAAGCTGTAAAGATTTTAAATTTTATAGAAGTTCAGTGTGGTAGTGTTACCTCGGATAAATTTTTTCCAAAATATCCAATTCGTTATAAAGAAAGTTGATGTAATTCAGAATAAAATTTAAAATTGAATGTTCCGTATTACCTTTATTTAGAAACCATATAAAGCAAAATTTCAATATTGTCATATTATAATCAATCAATAGAGACTAGTTCGCCATAATATCTCTTTTTTTAAAAAAAAGGCATCGTGAAAATATTTGTACATTGTGGAATATACTGTATGTGCGCATACGGTATGATACACGAAAAATATGAAAATTAGCACACTAACTCGGATCAAATTTTCTTATAATGAACTACATAGATAATTTGGAAAAAAAGTTTTTCCGAGTTAACACTTACCTTACTTGAACTGATATAAAGTTTTAACCTTTACAGCTTATTATAGAGATGTTCATTGATATGCATACATGTTCATATATGATATCTCGAAGACGTCGTTCAGTTAGGATTAACAATATGTATCGGTGATTTTGTCCCGTGACTTGTGAAAATTAGTAACAGTAAATGAGTAAAATATTTAACACAGCCACATATTAAATTTTGGTAAAATAAATTTACTGGAATTGGAATCAGTTTAGTCGACTAAATATAGTAATTAACATAATTCTTTAATTCTACCAATTCTTTAATCGGCTAAACCGATTCGCCCCTTACGGTAAACAAATATTCCGGGGTTAGGGATATCTGATATGGTATGCTATTTGCGTTATTAACGCATATTCTATGCCAGTGGAATAACTTGCGTAAACATTTCCGCGACGGTAAAAATATCTTTCACTGCTTTCCGAACGATCTCTAGAAACTCTAACAGCTAGCTAATACTAATTAATACTATAAAATAAACAACGTTATTTATCTGTTAAACATTTCAGAAACTTTATTAATAATTCTTTAAATTGAAACCAATGATATAGTCTCATATATAATAAATTTGCAAAATATATTTTTTTATAAATGGCATTTTACCGACAAGCATAATATTTCTTATTGAAGACCTTCACGTGAGCAAATCTGATCAATCGACTTATCCTATTTTTGACTTAATAGATTTAAATAAAAAAAGTTATATAGTACGTAATACATATTACAGTATTAGTTATAAAATCTTAAAAAACAAACAATATAGATATTGTAAATAAAAATCAATTCAAAAAAGAAAAACAAAATAAATTGTAGTAATTTTTATACGTGCCTCTATATAGTACACAATATCCAATTATTACAAAGATTTCTATATTTGGAGTTGTAATTACGTATTCTAACTCGTACAAATCAAAATTAATTTTCGTTAAGTGTGGGTTTACTTTATAATAATTGAATTTGTTTGGCTTATTATGATTGGTTTCTTTTATCTTAGTAAAGTTAAAAACGTTAATTTTCTCTGATATTTACCGCGCATTTAATATTTAATGTATGCACTGTATGTAGTTTATCGTCATTCTTATTTTAGACTCTTAAAATAACGTGACTATAAAGTTCACACAAATTACACATAATAAATACAAAGTATATATGCGTGTGGATGGTTTCAGATATATTATGTACAATGTGCGCGTGTTATATGGGTAACATTTTCATCTACTCACAGCAGAATAGTTGTACGTCGTTGCGGCTGTTAGGAGGTCTCTTCCTCAAAGCCATTTGACATTCTTTTCTGTATATTAGTAGTGAAAATATTAAGTATAAACTAAATATATTAAATTTATTATTTTTTTACAATCATTTTCTAAACCTTTTTCTTTTACGTTCGAGAACATTTTATAAAACTCCAAAATGCATCGTTTTCTAAAAAGGTCCGAAACGAGGAAGCAGTTGGAAGACGAGAATTCCTTTCCAAAGCCGACTACTAACAATACACTTCCCTCACTTCCAAGTCCCACCCGAACCTCTCTCATCATGCCAACCTTAACTAAACGATTTAGCGTATTACGTAGGGGTGAGACTACCCTTGACACTAACGATAAGGAAAGTGACTCAACTGATATACAAGTTTCTGATACTACAAAAACTTATAATATAAATAGTTCTCAACTGCAGAAAAAACCTGGTTTGTTATATCCTTAAATTAATGTTAGTTAAAAGTATCTATTTATTATTATATTT